ATGTATAAGCGCTTGAAACCTTTCGAATAATATTGATCTTTTTTATATTCAATTGTAATGTAATTATTTGCATCATAATTTTATTATATATATTTATTATATACTAATAAATTTATTAATAAATCTATAAATTTAAATATACTAATAATAATAAATCTATTTTAAATTACCATAAAAAATTAATAAAATATTTTTTTTAATTATTATATTATTATATACAATTATTATTATTATATCAATTATTATTATATATGATTAATTTTAATTAAATAAATAAAAAATGATTTTGATCAAAGAAACAAATCTGTGATATTGTTATGATAATAATTTATTCTACTATAAAATTCGTATATATATAACACAAAATTTTCTTAATTTTATGCAATTTAATAAAATACAGAATCCAATTTTTATTTAACAAAATAAAAAAAAGTATATTAGATTTAATGATAACAATTTTATGCATATATTATATTTATTATATAGATTCAGTTATTTTTACTTGTATATATGTATATATATAATATCAATCTTTAAAGGGTTAGAAAGCTACGTCATTGAAATTATATCAAATGTTTTGCATTCTTGTATATATGACGTAACTAGTGACGCCAACAAATTGAAAAATCGATTAAACTCAAACTTATTATTTTATAAATCTGTCAATTTTTTTATATAAATTTATAATTAAATTAACGATATAGAATATTTTCACAGATGTATATAATATTTTAAATTTCAAACACTTTTGGTTAAAAATAATTTTTTTCAATTTCTTTTTAATTTTTTTAATTTTTCTTCTTCATTAAACATTTACAATTTTATTTCGACAAATTTAAATATTGTGTCATATTTATATATTATGTCAATGTATATTACTCCTAATTATATATACATATGAATTATAATTAGCAATATGATCTACGATAGTATTCATTTACGCAGAGGAGCGAAATTAATTATAGTAATACACACAAATTTCAAAAAAAATATTAAGATTATGATGGATATTAAGATCCATGTAGATTACTTTATATAAAATCCTATTTATCTAAATTACAAATAATTTCTTAATAATTATAAATAAAATGAAAATTATAATTCAACATTAAATTGAACAATAATGTGCAAAAATTTTTAATTTCAATATTTTCGTTAACTATTTTATTATTTTTTAATTTTATTCTTTATTTTAATAATTTATAATTTTATATCATATCTTTATGCCATTAGTTACTGTTATAATTAAATTATAATTAGTACGCGTTAATATCGTTCATTCTCATAGGTAACGGTTTTCATTAATATCATATAAGCTGTATCACACAAAGCCTGTAAATGTATCTTAATGTCAATGTAATACACTTCGTTGATAATGAACTGTGAAGAGAGCTAATGCAAAACGTTTCCACGAGTACATAACAGAGTATAATGTAATCTTTTCTACGAAATTTTTATGAAATATCTAGAAGTTATCTAGAATATCTTGAGTACAATGAGCTCTTATGATTGTTTTTAATTACATTGAAGAAATACGCGCTTAAAAATAATATCTCAATTTAAGAAGAATTAAGTCAATTAATTATTATATGACATCTCGTTACTTATAATCGGAAATCCAAACAATTCTCTATGGATTGTGGTTGTCTATATCAGTTACGAATGGCTCTCTCTTCGACTCTTATTATATTGAAATTGAATCGTTTCAGTTTCCAAGCATGCAATTACCCTTTAAGAGAGATTCCGTTTCTTCCCTCCGTACATTAATCGTAAATGGAAGCGAACAAGCAGAGTTCACCTCGTGGCTGACATTTGATAGTGCAGTTTTCACGCAATGTGAATGCAATTTATATAATCGTTTAAGTCATTGTGTTAATTAAATCTTTCGAGATTTTACGCATTTTTTATATTCGAATTTAGAGAACAAACTGTTATTTTGTTGATATCTTAGATTTAGGTGTTTTAAAATATTAGAATTTGTACTCTTTTCTACATATATTTAACGCAAATATATACATATATTTGTGTTAATAATGTTAATGCTATTTTGTATGTTTTGATATATTTTATTATTTAAAAAATATTTTATGTCGAATATATTCGAATAATATTCATTTCCGCATTCTTTTGATATTAGAGAGAAGAATTTTTATGAATATTACTGCAATATTATTATCATTATCATGATAAAATATTATTAGGTTATAGATGGGATTCTTGAATAACAATGATTTAAATAAAATTCTTCATTAAATGTATGCAGTTTTGAGTAGAAAAATTTGTTTTAAAATCGAAAATTTGTTTATCAAATTTAAAAATAATTTATATGATGAGAAAATAACTTATATGATGAGAAAATTATATATTATATATATATATATATTTAAATTATATATTGTATTAGATAACAATAAAATAGATTAATAATAATTAAATAATAATAATATAAAATAATTTGAATAATTAATTGATATTAAAATATTTTTTCTAGACAACTCTCATCAATTGCAGCCTGCAATATGATATTTTCCAAGAAAAAATAAGATCAAAGAAGATTCCATTATTATATTCAAGTACGAAAATAGTAGAATATAATTTCACAATTATCATCATATTAGTATTCCAGATCATATCTCGTTTACAATATATGGGAATCCTATATTGCATTCTATTAAATCTATTAGAAAAAGGTACTATCGATGACATTTCAAGTAAATTCATGCTCTTTCTAATCATCGTGCAATTACACGTAAATTGGAACGTTCGTTAAAATAGGGGAAAAAAGAGAATGAAAAAAAAAAACTTTCATCGACCTAGTTTCGCTTTCGTCTCGGGTTACTTTCATTACGTCCTTCACCGCAAACCGAAAGGATTTCTGCGTAACATTCCAATTACAATTCTCTAATGAAAAATACGATTCTGAATGAAAAAATACTCGATCGTTCGTTGCTAATGTGCGATCTTTGATTATTTTTTTTCTTTTTTCCTTTTTCTTTGGATGCGTTCTATACACTTTCTTTATGTTGTAATATATACACACACGTTTATATGACTGGATGCCGGACCGGCGAAAAACGGGTTGTACCTAGGAGTGCCTAGGCTAGAAGGGTGGAAACACTTCGACCCGTCCTCTTGAAATGTCAAAGGTTACCGCGCAAGACGCATCGACATATTCCTGTTTTCCAGAAGCCGGCAGTTGAACACAATTCTATTGTTTCTACTCTATCGTTGAGTAATAATTATCATCATTTTCATTTTGCACCATTTCATGATTGTGTTCTTTCGATCGCGAGAAATTATTCCGTTTAAAATTATAGATTTATATGTTTTATTTTTATTTTTATTTTTTCCGGAAAAAATAAATTTAATACGCAATTTCACGAGTAAGTAAAGAATTTTCTAACTTAAAAAAGTAGATATGAATTACTTATCCCAAGATATTTGAAACAATTTGTTAATTTTAAGAAAGAATATTATGGAAATTCATTTTTTTAAATGAATTTCGTTTAATTGACTTTCTTTATTAATTGATTTTAAAAATAACCAAAAAAAGATTTTTTTCAGTCTTCTCTATTTCATTTTTTGGAGCTTTTTCATCATTTCCATTTTACATTCTCATTTATTTTCTTTATCGAAGTATTATTTTTTGTAGAAAAATTATAATTAGTTAAATTATGTTATAATTTATAAATATATAAATATTTGCAATTCATGGTATTTGTGAAATTATTAATTTTTATTATAAAATTATTATTAATGACGTCAATCAATTACCAAAAGTACTATTTATTTAAAACGCAATCGATCCTATAGCCAATTGGAAATTGCTGCGATGTCGCACAAAATAGATTCCATCAACGAAGTCCTTGGCGGAAGATTAATTATTTCGTTTTCATTCAGTCTCATGACGGCCAATTGAATTTTCTCGAGATGGATCTTTTATGTTGTGAAAATTATCACTGACTATGCATTTCTAAAATCCAATTTAATAAAGAAAACAGTCATGCTATTTTTTCCATTTTTTTTGCTATTAAGAGGATAATTAGAATAATCCACGATTCTTTTTTTATGTTTTTTTCCTCGTGTTGCTTTTCCAATGATAAAATACCTTGCAATATATTTTCACGTCAAAATTATACACTCCTTGAACTTGCAGTTTATAACTTTGAATCATAAAAATTTTAGTTTTCTTTGAAAATTGCTTGTTAATGTCAAAGGTACGAAATTCCATCAAGAAGTTGGAATATGGAGAGATTTCTGTAGAATTTATTGAAAGAAATGGATCTTAGAAATGGATCTTTCATATATTCGACATTAAATTACTATTATCTGTTCTTTTGTGTCACTGCTGTCTTTGTATTTTGCTTTCAACTTTGATCCATTAATGATCACGATAAAAACTTCAGATTTAATCAAATTTATTATAAAAAATTTTCATTTTTTTTCTTTTTGGGAATTTACGATATTGAAACTTAATCATTAAAATGATTTTATTATTATTTAATAATTTAATTTTTATTATATGAATCATAGAAAAAATTTTTAAAATTTATTATGCGCGTATTTCTTCAGATGTAGAATATATATATATAAACTAGTGATTAAATATTATAATAATATATTAATATTAAATATTCCCGGTATTGGAACATTAATACAAATCGTGATATACTGGCTACTACGTATTTGCTACTGATCTCAGACATCCTGGCGCTTCGATTAACTATATTTTGAACTACTATTTGCTGTTCCATTTATCTTACTGCGCATTAAACTATACGAGATATTTTATATTTATTAATCTAATTAAATAAAACTATATAATAATCTAATTAAATAAAACTATTTTTTGAATTTATATTAATTCAAAAATACAAAAAAAAGTAATAAGAAAATAATTGATTATTTCAAAAAGTATTTCAAGAATATTTAATTATTAATAATTAACTTAACATTTTTAATATTTATTGAAACGAATCATTTGGAAAAACAAATCCTTCATCGAACGATTTAACTATTAACGACTTAATTAAAAATTTTACGTTTGTCTATAAAGTAAGATATTTTATAAGATTTGTGAGCGATATGAAAATATGCAAAATATTTGTGCAAATATTGCACGTACCTGATTAAACAGCGCGTGTCCAGCGTTGAAGTTACGCCGCAATTTCCACGAAACACAGATTGAAACTTCACGGAATACAAACAGAAGAGCGGAAGGACTGCTATAAATACGGTTGATTTACAAACGTCACAAGAGCTGCATACTGTGGCGGATGCGCGATGTTTGTCATGAAACAAAGATAAGCGTGGAAAATACACGTGTTTTCTATTCGATTCTAGAATCATGCAGGATACAGGATGTGAAAATTTGCCAAATAATTAATTTTATCTATTAGAAAATAAAAAAAAATTTATCCAAAAAGAAAATATAATGTAAAAATTGTATCAACGATAATAATAATATGTACGGAAATATTTTCTGATATAAAGCAGAATAAAAAAGGAATTCAAGATATGTTCTTATCAAGTTTTCCAACTGATTTGAGAAATGTTGCCACAGAAATGTCACATGTAACGAATTCTTGAAATATTCGTATACGTGAAAATATGATCGAAGGAACAAAAGAGGACGAATTCACATGACAAAAGAGTTCGTCATGTGCGATTCAAATACCCAATATAATCACCCATATACATTTTCTTACCAAAAAGATGTATCAAAACCGCGACCTTGTTCGCGAGAAGCTCGGATAAATCGCAGAACAACAAAAAAAATAATATGGCGATAATTTCTCTTTTGTCTAAGTTAAAAGTTCTAACATCCTGCAATAGAATAATCGAATCTGCATTAATCAAACCAAATACTGAAATGTTATTTTTGACAAAAAGAAGTTTCGTGAACGAGAAAAGAAAAAATTGGAGCACAGAATATCGTTGTCAAGATATCAAAAATTGTCTCAATGATATTTTAAAATACGAATCGAAAGAAAAATTGCCTATGATAAATGAAGGTATAAAGCTCTTTTTTTTTTTCTTATTTTTCTCTTGACATATAAATGATTTGTTATTTACATTACAATACAAGAATATGCTATTGGCATAGCAATAATACGCGATATTTAATTTTCTTTTAAAGTTTATAATAAAAAATGTCTGATATTTTGTTGAAAAAAATTTGTTATTATTAATTTGTAATATGTGACATGCCTCCTAGCAAATATTCTTATACAAAACTACAATTTTTTAGGTAATAACCTTTATCCGTATTTTATTCAAAGTATTAAATGTATTGTACAAACACTAAATAATTTCAATCTTGAAAATCTCACTGTGTAAGATATTTTTTTTTCTTTTTTCATTTAACTAAAAAAAAAAATTATATATCTTTATTGAGAAAGCTATTGAAATTCTGTTTAAAATTCATAAATAAGAGAATTAATAAAAAATTTTGTGATTTTAATTAAATTATAAAATCTTGTGTAATTCATTAGCATAAATAACAAAAATTTCCACTTTAACATAAAAAATTGACATTTTGCATATTATAATCATTGTCGACATATCAAAAACCAACGAAAATATTCATGTTTTTGTTTAAAGAAAAAATTTAATGATTCTGACGTTCTTCAGTTAAAGTTCGTTTCAGAAAGAAACAGGTATGTGAATAATCATGAATATTGTGATGAAATGAAGATGTATGCCGAAAGAAGAGCTTCCTTGTTCAACAGTGGATCGTCGATCTTTTTGCAGTTCCCTTTGGCGCCAATTTACCATTCTTGGAAGTTTTCCAAAAAATTTTGTCCTTCAGCAAAATACCATAGTTTGTGTATTCAAAAGTCGATGTTAAAATTTTATTCTTCTATGAAAAATCCATCCTATGAAAAATCTTTATGTAAAGATTTGTGGAAGACTGAAGATTTATATGAAGCAAGATTTTATTCTAAGAATATTCGTAATTATTGTTCTTCCAAAAAATCTTCTTGTGATAAATCAAAATTAAAAGATTGTGATAAGATTGAAACACTTGCGAAACAAGAAATTTCTAAGTGTTGTTCCGAAGATCCTTATGCCTGTACAAAGCCTGAACATATGCAAGAATGTGTTAAACCTATAACAAAATGCCTACCACCCGTTGGTGATACACCATTCATATGTACATCAACTCCTCGTCCAAGTATAGAAGATTATTGTCCTCCTGAAGGTAAGGTTTTTATCTTCTGAAATAAAATATTTATATAATTTTTAAATGATTATTTAAAACTAAAAGAAAAATAGAATTAAAAATAATAAAAAATTTAATTTGAGATCGGAATATTTTCAAATTGAAATTATTTTATTGATAAAAATATCAAAAGAAATGCATTATATATTTATTGTTAATTAATAATAATTATTAAAATATATTCGAACGATGATTGCATTACTATTCTTGAAACAGACAATTTTTTGAAAGCTATTAATAATTGAAGTTAGCAGTAGGATTGAATTTTCATCTTTAACATTTAATATTAGTTTAATTTAATAATTATTTTAATATTTTAATAACTTTATTGTGTAAATTTTATTTAATGATATATATGATAATAAGTGATTTTATAAATATAGTGTATGGTCACGAAGAAAAGATTTGGCAAATATTATGTGGTATTGGAATGCTTTCGGTAGTAATTATGTCGTGTTACGTTTACTCCAGGAGTAAGGAATGGGATAAGGAAGAAAGACCTGAATTCCGTGATGTCCCTCATATGCGGCGAATAGTTAAGGTGCTCTTTTTTTTTTTCTATTTATGAATTTTATAATTTTCTAATAAATTTAATACATGTTTTTTTTTAATCTAAATAATGAACTTTTGTATTACGCATTTAATATTTATATAGTATATACAGATACAATATCGAGTTTCATGTTTTAATTAATCGATAATATATGCGTAGTTTTGCGTAACATTCAAGTTTTATACTGATTCTTCTACCTAATGAGACTTTTTTCCATCTCGGAGATAATCCATTTGTGCGGTAATCGATTAATGAAGTCTTACGAATTATTTGCTTTCGCCATAGGAATTTGACACTTTTTCTCTTCTCTATTCTCTATATTTTTTCTTTTTTTGTTTTGAATATTTTTTTATAATTGACAATTTTATAATATTTTGTAACTAATTTTGTTACGAAACTTATCCATATAAATGATTTATAAATATTTTCATCCTAGCCTTTTCCATGGGGTGATGGCAAGCACACCTTGTTTCATAATCCTGTTAGAAATCCAATATCTCCGCACGGTTACGAAGCAGAACATCCACATGCAAAAAAAAATTAAAATATCAATAAAGTAATTAAAATATCAGAAAATAATATATAAGACAAAAAAAATAAAATTATTTTTATAAAAATTTATAAAAATTTTATAAAAATTCGTCATGGAATAAATAATTTACTAACATTAAATTTAATTTAGAATGCACATATTATACATTTATATTAAGAATATTCAAATTCTGCGATTGTAACGAATAAAAGAAATATTGAAAATTATATTATAATTTTCTAAATGAATCGTTATTTACATTTTCTATATTTCCTCTTGAAAGTTGCTTAGTATGGTATTTTTAACCACAAGCGTTATTCAAGGACCGGATATGCTCTATCCGGTGAACGAATGAATATAATGCGGTGATTATTATTGCTTGACTGCATTCAGTCCATATAGCTTTATTTTAATATCACGTATTTCTGCCACTCTGAAAATTTCAAAGTTTATGTATAAAAAAAAGTATTTAGAAAATATAAATTCTATAATATATTATGCTTTCAAAGTTTTTCTTCTAGAATATTTATTATAACCAATAAATTAAGGATTATATTTCGCAAACTTTTTCTTAAGAGCCATAAAAAAAGATTTAAAGTACAATTGAGCCAATGGTTAAGGACGGTTATAATATCACATACTTGCCTGTTTTTTAACATTGCTCTTCTAATTAACGTCTCAAGAATAATTTCAGGTATTTATGTATATGTATAAAACATAAAGTTGCGTTTTTTCTGAGTTAATTGCCGAAGAGAACATGTGAATCTTTACATGGAAGGTCAACGTTAGACAAGTCTCTCTTGAGTATATTCATGCTTCTTCTCCTGTTGTCTAAAGAAATCTTTTGCTTACGTCATTTTATATATGTATATTATGCCAGCAAGTTCGTTCAACATATTTTGACGTCACTCGACATGTAAGTCTATACTTTAGTCATCTTGATTAGGATATACTATAGTAAATACTATAGTAAATATTCCATTCTTATCACTATATAATTTATGAATAATATTTTTGACAAATTTTTTATATTTATGTTTAAAACAAAATATAAATTTCAAAGGAAATATTTTCAAAAAATTATGAATACATCTTCTAAAAAATGTTTCAAATTTTTCAAATAAAAAATGAAAATATCTTTTTTGATTAATGAATAGAAAATAAAGATGAATTAAAATGGATCAATGAGATGGAAAAAATTAGAAGATATATTATCAAAGATATATCAAATCAACTTTGATTTCAAAATAAAATTATTATTGATCATATATATTCATAATAAAAAATATATTTTGATTTTTCATAATTAATAAAAACTTAAAGATCTTTTTTTAAACCAAAAGATTAAAGAGCATCTTTTTTATCCTTAGAAAATCTGATTGTTGAAATGTTTCAAAGATTATAATAGGTATCAATTCGAACAGATTTTTTTTCGGTATTTAAAGCTTTCGAAAGAATTAAATCGTGCTTGCCTATTCATAAAATGTCTCTTATATATCATTCGTTGCATAAAAGAGGAATAATTTTTACCATCCATCGAGCGATCCATTTCGCTTTTGTGCCAACTCACAGTAGAAATGTCACTAACTTTCTGTAATCTCTATTTCTCGATAGATGAATTTTATTCTTTCCTTTTTATCTTTTGTAAATAAACTGAATTCGTTAATTATATGTATTCATTTAATAATATTGTTTGCAATAAGGAATATTGAGAAAACGTTTTATCGAATAACTAATGTCAAAGGTCAGTTTCCTTTATTATGCACACAAACACTCAACGAGTAACATATTCCTTCATAAATTTTAATATAAATATATGTATATTATATTTATCTAGTTATATATATTATATTTTATTTTATATCTTAATATATCTTATTTTTTTATATTAATAGAAATGATCATTATATCAGTTTATCAATATAATTTATCAATATCTGACGTCTCTATATATCATTTTATTCATATTTAAATCTTTTCAATTTCATTATTTATTTTTTATTTTCTTTTTTATTTATTATTTTTCTTTTCTATTGTTAGAATGTATTTATGTATATCATATCTATGATAAATTGCAATTATTTATAATTTCTTTTTTAATATTATTATATCTAATTATTATCAATAATCTCTAAGAAACATGAATTGATTAATTATTTTTAATTCTTCCTACTATCAATAATTTCAATAATAATTTATCAATAATTTATAATAATTAATTTAATATATTTCCTACTATGAACTATCAATAATTTTTTCTATTTGTTTCTTAACGATCTTTTTTTCTTTTTTCTATAAAAAAATAATTTTTGTTATGTGAAAGAGATATCACTAAAAAATAAACAATCCTTTTTCATTCATCTTTTCTGTAAATAGAAAACAAGATTTTCATCTCAACAAGTGACACACAGTCTCCCTATGGATATTGCGTTGTATATATGTTGTTTTTAAGGCAAGTACCGGCAGGAAGTCTATATACTACCCAACTCGATCTCTATCGAAACACATGCAAATATCGATGAACGTATCAGTCTCGTTTTCATGAGAACCTACTGATGTTATGGCGCATCTGGTTTTGCGTTTTCTTGTTCACTTGGGGGTCGATCAATAGGTTAAAGGGAGGTGGTGGAAGGCTAACGGTGGCTGTACTTTCAGTGATAGAAAATCCGTGCCAGAAATCTGTATTTCAAATTGACTTATTATATATGAAATATTTATTATTATTTATATTATGAAATATTTTTTTCATTGAATCGAATGTTAAATTTTTCATTTCATTTTCTTGTTTATTTATTGTAAATTGTATCTTGATATAATTTCATTTCCTTTTATGTTCTATATAAATGGAAAAATTTTTTTATTATTATTAAATTTCTACTATTAATTATTATATAATGTTTTTTGAATACATTTATATATAAACAAAATATAAATTTATAAGTTATTTAGATAATTTTTAAGATAAAGTATTGAGAATTTTTTTAAAATTAAAAAAAAAAGAACGGATAGTATGCACCTTTATTTTACAGCACTGCATCCGGATCACTGGGTCGCGGAGGCGGTAGGAAGCATTCTGATTGGTTCAGCTCGATTTCGCGGGTTTGAGAAGTCGCGCGTGTCAATGGGCCCGCCAATCGAAACCTTCTCTCTGTCAGTCAGTGCCCGCGCGTTGCTCATGTAACATCGTGATATTTTTACCTTGCGTTTATTCTCCACAATCCTTGGATAAATCCTCGATTGCTTTATTTTTTCCAGTGTATGTACTAATTGATTTTACTAAAATGAATATATTATCATTTAATATTCGTTTATTTCATTTAATATCGAAATCAAGTTTTTTTCTTACCTATTAGAAGAAACAAGTGCTTTTATTTTCATTATTTAAACAAGCTACTATTTATAGAAGTACGCATATATCATGCTTCCGAAGTTTTTCAGACAAGTTTGAATGAATCTTGAATGAAATTTAAACTATGTGATAGTGAATTTAGTGAATTGACCAATATGAATTCATAATGAACGTGTATATAAGAAAAATGCAAATACATTCTATTTCAAAGAATTTTAGTGCTTAATAATATCATTCGAAATACATATTAATATGCTAGTTTTAATAGCATTATTATCTCAGTTGATTATCGATCTTTCGTCTATTTAACTATATTACGAAAATATTATCGTGACTCCCGCGATTTATCTTTTCATCTGTAAGGTATGGCGCGAAAAATACGATATACGAATAAAAGAGAGCAAAATGAGCAATATCATTTTGTTTCATTTATGAATTTTCTCTATTGCCACGATATTCAAGGTTAAGGAAATCCTTTGCCTGTAAGTATACCAATATAGCATTATATATATGTTTAAGTGATTCTTGAAATATATTATCTCACAATGTAGAAGATATGATTGCTGTCAACCGTTAGGGATTTGTCAGCTGAGTTCGTTAAAAATGATTGGTCGAATCTGACAGGTTACGGTCCAATTGCGACTGCAAATTCGGGCACTATACGAACTATCT